ATTGAAAGGCGTCCAACAGGCGATGCACGTGCTAATGTTTCCCACGTTTCTTTATACAGCGAAAGTGTAGCGAAATGACGTCACGAGCAGCGTTGGCGAATTAGAAACCAGTTTCAGTGTGTTCGCAGTCAAGCGCTTCTCGAGCGCTGCATAAAGAAACGCGGGGGTACTGTATATCATAAGATGGCTCGCCAGCATTGGTGTATACCGTTGTGCCTTACTGGCACTGGCGGCACTGGAAGGTTTAATGTTTTCCAACAGAGATGCCTACGACGAATCCAAAAAATCCGATATTTAGATCATATTACCAATGAAAGGTTCTCGGATGGAATAGAAGTGCAAACTTCATAACATTGTCAGCCGTAGAAGAGTCCAACTGGTCGGCCACGTTTTCGTATGGAGAACAATAGGATTCCTATGAGAGCCATGAAATGAGTTTCCCTGGTGCTAAACGACCACGAGGACGCCCCAGGAATACTTGGCATGTAAATTTTCTTCAAGATTTGAAGATGCTCAATATGATTTCGGAGAAAGCTGAAGCCCTCGCCCATGACCGAAATCGATGAAAGATAATTGCTGTACGGTATGCAATCTAGCATTGGAAAAACTACTACTACTACTAATTACAAATTATTATTTCTAATTCTATTCAATTATATTTATATTTGATAGTAAAATTCCATTGTTTTTTGTTTGAATGTTTCCTTTCCTATACTAAAATACCACGTTTCTGTCTTTTCCTCTTCCCTTCATCATTTTTCAATTTTTCTGTTGTTTCTTGAGTAATTTTTTTGAAAATGTTAGGAACACGATAATAGCGTATTGTTTGAAACAAAAAACAGTGGAATTTGAATTGTTTATTTGTTAACAATTGCCGAAAAAGCTCGTTGCATAATTGTTGTCGTGAATGACGTTTGGCTAATGACGTCACGTTACTTATAAAATTTTGTATAGTTTTGTGTTTATAAAATTTACTAAACTTGAAAAATGTATATTATATTCACTTATTACTGTGACAATGATATAGCGCGAAATAGACGTGCTATATCATTACTGAGACAAGTAGCATATAGCACTTGCCTAGGTGGAATGAAAAGTGCTTAAGCCTATGAATAACCTATAGGTATTTAATTTTCCACATGTAACAACTCGGGTTTTCCATTTCTGCACGGCAGTTTCTTAATTCTAATAAGCGCTTTTCATTAGCCACCATCCAAAATTGACAAACTTTATTGGTGTATTATTACCACGTTCAAAAACAGAATGAATTGCTGTAATTTTAAATTAAGCACGGCTGAATTTCTTACTATCTGCAGGGTAGAGATCTCAACTTGCGACATTAAACTTACGCTACTGCTTGTTAAAAGATCTTTTAGAACGAAACTGCATAATAAATGTAGAATCTACTGTGTATATTTGTCATTCGAATGAATTCATACTATGCCAACTGGTGGTATATTGGATAAAACAACCCAACACTGGCAGTTGGTCTCGGGTTTGCACATTAAAGAGGTTGCGGCCGACGTTTTCAACGCAAAAACGTGTACGTCGGACGTTCAGCGCTGCTTTCCTAAAGGCCTAGAAGTTTGGCAATGGTGTTTGGGACGTCAAGCATGATCCCACTGACTATCCTAACGCCATTGTCAAACTTTTAGTGTTATAGGAAAGTGGTGCTGAACGCTGAAATTATTATCTTCGTAAACTATTAGTACTTAAGTATGTAAATTTTCTTTTTTCGCCCTCTGTCGATACACATGGTCCTTCTTGAAACTTGTTTCAATGTTGCCAGATCTCGACGCTTCTGCTTCTGTTGTTGCCAGATGTTTTTCCCTTATTCCATACTTGCTTTATTCTTCATAAGTACTTAGCACCATGTAAGGAAATTTATAAAGATCTTTTAACTAAAAGCAAGCAATCTGAAATTACATACTTTTTGCAAAAGGTAAAGCGTGGATCTGAAGATAATGCAGAAAAATGCTCAGAGGATAAAGATAACTTGCCAAAAAGAAAACGCTCTCGGTTAATAGTGCTTTTAGTGATGACGAAGAAAACATTGTTTAATTTATATTAATATGTATCGCTTAAGAAAATTTTAATAAAGATATTTATCTTAATTATGAAAATATAATAGCATGTTTTTAATTTTTGGAACCTAACCCTCCTTTTCGTACTAGTTCTTTGTTTCGTATAACACGGATTCACATAACACGGCAATTTTTTGGAACGTAACTACCGTGTTATATGAGGGTTAACTGTATTTAATTAATATATCTTAAAATAATTGTTTTCATGAATATTAACAGCTCATTTAGTTTTAAATTAAAATATTATGTACTGTATTTGACAGATTTCTATGAATGGAAAGCCACAGACGATTTGAGAACCAACTAAAGTTAACTGTGTCATACTGTCTAAAAATTCATGGAATTTATAAATTTATACTCGTGCGGCTCTGGCATATGGGATCGTGACTACGCTCAATTCAGAAATGTACTTACAAAAGGAAAACATTCAATAACAGATTGTGTATATAAAAATGTTGCAAATGTATAATTTTCAATAAATCTTTCCGTAAAGAAAACATCTTTCTTATGAATAGCATTTTTTCATAGCTAACGTTCAAATAAATCATTGCAGATCTGTTAAATAAGACTAGAAAAAATTCACTAATATCTTACTGACGATTATAATTTGTTGATGAATTTAAACTACCAATTCATGAGACTTTACTCAAATTACACAAGATACACTTAACTCTTGATATTCGCCAGGGTTAGGTTTTTAAAAATCTCGTGAAAACCAAATAAGGATGCCTATGGAGAAAATTGAGTTTGGTTTTATGGAACATTTCAAAGAAAAACGTTAATTGTAAAATAAAATATTGCAAATTTTGTAATATAAAACGTTTAAATTATTTCTAAAAAGCAATAAATAATTTTATTAAATAATACAAAAAAATTCTAGTAAGAGATTGAAAATTCAGCAGAAAAATCTTGAGATTAAAATAATTTAAGAACGAAAGTCTATATATTCTATAGAATAACATTCATAATATACTGTATAATTTTAAATATTTTTACAAAAGTAATGAACAATACTCATCTTTTAAAGCTACAATATAAACATTAAATATTAGACAAAAGACAAATTTGCCGTTTAAGAAACGAACAGTAGCAAATTTTGTTTGTAATATAAATTAATTCTGACTGTTCTGTATTTACACCGATTGCGTTCTGTCAAATGATTCAGTGACGTCAAATTGACCGATCGTAAATTAGAATTATGCTTGTCCAGCTTATTGACGTCACGAAGTAGCGATATCTCGTTGTAAAAAACAGAACTACGGATAGGAAATCGTTCTCTAATTAGCCGCCAATCTACCTGACGTCACAAATGTTTGGGTTAGATTTATTCTTTTAGATTTACATTATTCCTAATTAGATATTTAAAATAAAATATAAACCATATAGAAATAATGACTGGGCATATGAGCAACTTTTGATCATTTTGGAATTCGATTTTTCTTCTAAATTTCTTTTTACAAATGTCACAATAGATATGAATCTGATTATTAAAAATACAGTGGTGCCTCGTATAACGTACGCTGCGAACAACGGACTTTCCGTTCGGCAGTTACGTGAGGCGAACAACGGTCTTTCTGCGAACAAGTGCGAATGATTTTTCCACTCTTTTGCCGTTGCCAATGACAATCTGCTATTTTTATAACACAGTATATTAGTATTATTAGAATATATTACTGTATTATTATATCTGAAGTACAGAGTTCCCGTTGGAATTCGGCTTGCTCCCTTGTTTATTACGTACATCATCTCAGTGCAGGGTATTTACATTTATTCAAGTGTTGTGCAAATCATGGCTTCTAAAAAACAGAAAGGTGATTTCAATTGAAACAAAGCAAGAAATCATCAGAAAGAGTGAAAGTTGACAAAAACTTCCTTGTCAAATGGGGAGAGGTTTAGGAGTTTACCAACACTCATTATCCGGAGCTGAGGCCAACAGGATCAATGACCTCTACAATGACACCCTTGCCCGTCATTTCCGACAGGTGTTGAAGAAGAGAGAGAAACAGAACATCTTGGACATGTTTTTCAATAAGCAAGCTGCCAAAAAACAAAGGATGGAACAAGAGGAGTTGACCACTTTGGACATGTTTTTCAAGAAGCAAGCTGCCAAAAAACAAAGGATGGAACAAGAGGAGATGACCCTGCAAGCTCCGCTAGCCTCTCCTGAATCTGACTCTGATTAAAAAACAATAATAAGAGACTTGCTGCAATGTGTAAAAAGTCTGTATCTGCATCAATGTGTAAAGAAAGTGTTCGTCACATCTGACTACCCAGCATAATTGGTGACTGCTCCATTTTCATTTATTTTATGGTACAGTACGGTTATTTTATGTTGCAGAACGAATTATATGTTTTAACATGTATTTCTATGGGAAAATGCGTTTCGTATAACGGACTTTTCACTTAACAGACGTGCACCTGGAACGGATTAAGTACCTTATACGAGGCACCACTGTAGTCATATGTTTCTCTAAAACCTCCCCACACGTAAAAGTCTGTTCACAGATATTACACTTTTTTTCCCTCTTTCCTCCCTATGGGGACTAAGAGTGCCTCTTAGAGCAAGCCTATTATGGGTTCAGCCAGGCCCACATTGTGGAGACCGGGTGGTGAGGGACGAGGAGACTCATATACGAACAGACGTCCCGCGAAAAAATCTTGGGGATTCTTTGACCAGTCCAGATTCGATCCCAAGTCCGGTAGGCTGCCACCTTGACCACTCGGCCATCCGGCCTACAAATATTACATTGATAAAGTGGTTGGGGTTTATTTCTAAACAAGCCAATTTTAAATGCAGTTTCAGTTTAGTTCCTGTTTTAAATTTGATTTTACAATAAATTCTAAAATACGAATGATTCTGATAAACGAGTTGATGGCGTAATAATAACTTTTAACATATACACCTTTGTTACACACTTGTTTCACAAACTTAACGAAGATTGTCTTTATTGTCTAACAAGTAAGTCTATTACACTTCTGACAACAAAACGGTTTTATGTTGAAATGAACTTTCTGCTAAATAATTAAGCTACGTTTACTTTGAATTCTTTATTAAACATATTTCACTTTTCAATGGGAATTTTCGTTGTAGTGTGTTTTCAGTCTTAAATGGTTTATTACAAATATTGCATACATACATAATTCCATGTTCAGAAATACAACGTTTGCTATTGCTATGCCAATACAATTTGTATTTGCTATTGCTATGCCAATACAAATGCTTTTGCATTTGTATTGGCATAGCATTTTTACATGTCACATACATACTTTCTTCTATCGCTGTCAATAATTTTATGCTGTCCCAAAGAACGTATTGTTATAAAATATTTGTCACACATGACAAGAATATTACTAATCAGTGCTGTGTATACGAATATGCCGTTTAAACTAGAACTGCGTTTAAAACTTTAATTATATACCTTACAAGTATGGTGAAATTAATTATTAACTACTTCACTATGCTAAATAGCGTTTTGTTTTAAAATATTTGTTATATAATATCACAACTATAATTGAATTTCTTATTATGAACGATTTCATCAGCTAGCAAACGTTTATTTTTCTTCGGTTTTTAACCTTTTGTTACATACCTGAGAAGAATAGTTACGTTCATGAGTTCCATAATGGCGTTTTAGTTGCCCTTTCCATTTGAAACCCTTATTACAAATATCACAGTTGAAAGGACGTTCTTCACTATGACTATTCTGATGGGTTGTTAGCTCAGGTTTCCGTTTAAAACCCTTATTACAAATATCGCAGTTAAAAGGACGTTCTTCACTATGACTTTTTTGGTGGCTTTTTACTTCCGGTTTGGACTTAAAACCCTTATTACAAATATCGCATTTGAAAGGACGTTCTTCACTATGAATATTTCGATGGCTTTTTAGATGCACTTTCCATTTAAAACCCTTATTACAAATATCGCATTTGAAAGGACGTTCTTCACTATGAATATTTTGATGAATTTTTAGATATTCTTTCCACTTAAAACCCTTATTACAAATATCACATTTGAAAGGACGTTCTTCACTATGCACACTTTGATGGGTTTTTAGATGTCCTTTCTGTTTAAAACCCTTATTACAAATATCGCATTTAAAAGGACATTCTTCATTATGAATATTTTGATGACGTTTTAGTTGCAGTTTCTGATTAAAACCCTTATTACAAATATCGCATTTAAAAGGGCGTTCTTCACTATGATTACTTTGATGTCTTTTTAGTTCACTTTTCCTCTTAAAACCTTTATTACAACTATCGCATTTGAAAGGACGTTCTTCACTATGAGTTTCTTGATGCATTTTCAGTGGCATTTTCTGTTTAAATCCCTTATTACAAATATCGCATTTGAAAGGACGTTTTTCACTATGAGTTTTTTTATGCTGTTTTAGTTCCTCTTTCGATTTAAAACCCTTATTACAAATATCGCAATTGAAAGGACGTTCTTCACTATGAGTTTCATGATGCCTTTTTAGTTGATCTTTCCGTTGAAATCCCTTATTACAAATATCGCATTTCAAAGGACGTTCTGCATTATGAGTTTTGTGATGCCTTTTTAGTAGGTCTTTACGTTTAAATCCTTTATTACAAATATCGCATTTGAAAGGACGTTCTTCACTATGAGTTTCATGATGCCTGTTTAGTTGTTCTTTCTGTTTAAAACCCATATTACAAATATCACATTTGAAAGGGCGTTCTTCACTATGATAAATTTGATGGCTTTTTAGTATGCTTTTCAATTTGAAACCCTTATTACAAATCTCGCATTTGAAAGGACGTTCTTCACTATGAGTTTCATGATGCCTGTTTAGTTCCCCTTTATGTTTAAAATCCTTATTACAAATATCGCATTTGAAAGGACGTTCGTCACTATGAGTTTTTTTATGGCTTTTTAATAGCACTTTCAATTTAAAACCCTTATTACAAATATCGCATTTAAAAGGACGTTCTTCACTATGATAATTTTGATGGCTTTTTAGTTCACTTTTCCTTTTAAAACCCTTATTACAAATATCGCATTTAAAAGGACGTTCTTCACTATGATAATTTTGATGGCTTTTTAGTTCACTTTTCCTTTTAAAACCTTTATTACAAATATCGCATTTGAAAGGATGTTCTTCATTATGTCGTGCTTCATGACGTAACCATATGCATTTCCACTTAAATTCCTTTCCACATATTTTGCAGGCGTGAACTTTGTGTATTTTCTTCTGTATCTCTAAACAGCTTTCACCATATTGAACGCGTCTACCACAAATGTCGTTTTTCCACTGAATATTAGATTTTTTACCATTTCTTAGAGATGATTTCACTCGAATTCCAGATGGCTGCAAACGTAAATTCATATGAGAAATTTCGTTTTTATTTTCAGTTTGGTGTTCTTTCATGTGTCTTCGCAAAAGAAATTGCCACAAAAACTTCTCATTGCAGGTTGTGCAGCGAAATGGTTTTTTTCTGATATGACAGAACAGATGTGTTTCTAATATTCTCTTATTTGTAAATGTCTGTTTACATAATTTACACGTAAATTCTTCTTTAGAATGTAATGCGAACATCATCTTGAAATATTTCCTTTTAATCTTATCATGAATTTTATTCCATTTTCTGTTCGAAGGAACGTTCCTCTTTGTTCTGATATTATATTTAAAACTTTTTTCTTTTTCTGAATTTTGGTGAATATCGAATTCCTGAATGTGCTCTTCCTCCTGAACTGAAAGTTTAAAAAAAAATAAAATATAATGAAGTATCTATTATATTTCAATAAACAGCATAGTTTCAGCGTTAAAATAGTGTTGTAGCATTAAAATTGGTAAAGTATACATATGTTTTTCATATAAATGCAAAGCATCATTTGTTGTCTGCACTAAAAAATAAAACATTTTATATTCACAATCATAAACTGATTGATTCAGCTTTAGTTTCTTTAGCAGACCTTCAGATGAGTGTGTAAAATTGTTTCAGTTTATCTGTTTTTGTTTATATTATTTGTGTAGTTTGTTCCAGTGGTTATCATAGAAACGTGAAAGAAATTGTATGCTTTTAGAGAGGAAAAGAAATCATTAGTGTAAAAGAAAAAAGTACCGCAGCAAAAGTCTATAGATTATATCTAATATATAATCGAGACGGGAGAGTTGAAAGTTAAAATTTGGTACACAGATAGGGTACGTCACGAAAACGCACACTAAGAAGGGATTTTTCGAAATTTCCCCCCCGGGGGGAGAGAGACAGGATTAAAACTTCTATATACATTATGGATACGAGCTCAAACGGTTAGGAGTTGAAAGTTGAAATTTGGTACACAGTTAGGGTACGTTAGGAGAACGCACACTAAGAAGGGATTTTTCGAAATTCCTCCCCACGGGGGAGAGGGACAGGATTAAGGCTTAACACTTCCATCAACAATGGAAGTGTTAAGTAACAATGGAAGTGCTAAGTAACAATGGAAGTGTTAAGTAACAATGGAAGTGTCAACAATGGAAATGCTACGTAACAATGGAATTGTTAAGAGAAAGCGACATGCAAGACGCAGATGCAGTTTTTTTCGTTTTTGCGGGAAATCGAACATATTTTTAGACCCATCTAAAAATTCTCTAATTAGTCTGGAAACAAGGGGACCCAATTCTTGCATTCTGTGAAAACGAGTAAGGTTGACTGTAACGTAGTAATCTTTATCTTAGTTATCGTTACTTTTGCCCGAGCAACGCCGGGCCCACCTGCTAGTTAATAAATAAAAAGGCAAAATTACAGGATTTTTGTATTTTTTTTTAAATTCAAAATACCATAATTTGAGTGTATGTCCAGTTGATGTGTACAACGTTTTCAAGAATATTAGCAACATCTTTTTTAACACGTTGCTAATATATACTTATTTATGTCATTAAATAAATTATATAGCCCTAGTTTACTTCGTTTCAATACATTTTTTTTATTATTTTAGCGGACCCATGAACAAAGCAAGATGACATGAATCATTAAATAAAAGCTGATGAGTTGTTATTTAATGATTCTGATTATCTCAAGAGATTTTTATTAATTTCAAAAGTTATATTAATACGTTGTAGCAGGTTACATATAATTCTGAAATATCTGATCCCAGTTAAATGTTTGACAATTGAATCTTGAATGTAATTCTTTAGGTGCCCTCTGAATAATACTAATATAAAAAGTCTGAACTAAGTAACATGTTACTTACTTTGGATGTTCTCTTCATCCCTGTTAAAGTTTTCGTCAGGAGTGAAGAATTTATTGTTGACAGGCTAAACAATATGCAAACAATACATGACAATCACGAATAATCATTTATAATATATAAACAAGAAACGAGTTGCTCAACTTTCCCGGCAACGTTTTAAAGTTTTGATGGCGCTGTCTGTAATGAAACGTTTTTTAAATAATATACGATCTTTTTAACTATTATAGAAAGGCAAATAATTGAATTTTAAATGTAGGGATAAATTTAATATAAAAAAGTGAGTTAAATACGAGTAGTGAGTAAAATCATGATTAAGTCCGACCCTACTAAAGATACACGTGGCCCCCCATTATCTCCCCACCCTCTTGATTTTTAACCAGCAAAATTTAATAGCCTCAATTTCCCTAATAATCAAACTTTCCAGCAAAATTTCAGAAATTTTTCGACAAAAAAAGCAGGAGTTATTAAGTTTCAAACAGGATAAAGAAAATTGTGCAGCCTCACAGACTAACATCGTTACATACAGATAGATAGATAGATATTTTATTGTAACCTACTGGAGTACAGTAAATACTGGGTGCCACATGGTACTAGTTACATAAAAGTACATGGATACATAATATGAGTGAGATGATATAAATTAAAAAAAATAATAATAATAACAGTAAAGAGAAAATTATTTACAAATATATACAATGTAATGTAAGCAAAATAAAAACAAGTGTAATATAAAATAAAGAATTAAAGTTTTGATATATTGGTACATGAAATACAAAGATTGCAAATACTGTACAAATAAGCGTGGATGTGTAAACTTAACGTACAATATCAAAAGGAATTAAGTAATTAAAGTAACACAACATAATAGAGGAAATTAATGATGTTTTTATACAGATTAAATAAATATACACGAGTTTACACAGGGGTAAAGGACATCGGTACAATGCACTGAGGATATGGTTACAGGTTAAGTGCATGTGACGACAACATTGCAGAAGACAGATGTAGGTGAATGGTCTGCAGGCATGTGAGGCAGTTAAATGTAAGCAGTGACAGTGGTACTATCAAAGTAGTTGTTTATGAGCACAAGAAAAGCGAGGTAAGAGTCTTGGTGGTTGAACAAGCTGTACCCGTGTGCTTCAATGGTGGACTTTAAATAGTGCCTCTCCAGCTGCAGCATGGGACAGTCGAAGATGTAATGGAGATTGCTGTCACTAGTACCACAGAGGAAGCAGTTAGAGCTAGGGGCGTTGACAAATCTAGCCCAGTATGACTGAAATCTACAATGACCAGTGAGAAACTGGCTGTTGCGGTGATCTGGAATGTACCATTTATTAAGGAGAAAACTCTCAATGTTTGGGATGAATCTGTGTGTAACTGGATGGTTATGATTGTCCCATTCCTGTTGCCAAGTCACAAGAAGGTCCTTCCATAGTAGGTTTTTGAGAGTGTTGCTGTTAATTTTATTATAGGCGACTGGAAGGTTAGGGTCATCACTAGCAGATTTGGCCAAGGCATGAGCATGCACATTACCAAGCGTGTCCTGGTAAGCACGTGTCCAGTAGATGAAGAAAAGATTGCAGGAATTGTTGATAGTGTGCTGTATATCTGTGGAGATGGGATGACAGGAATGGTTTTTTATAAGGAAGATTGAAGATGCACTGTCCGAGATGATGGCCACAGATTTGCTTGCAAAGTTGGAGACAGACCAGGCCACGGCCGACCTGATGACGAACATCTCGGCTTGGAGAACAGAACAGTGATCGTCCAACCTGTGCTGACCAGAGGCGATCTCCTCATTGTTGTGGAAGGCAACAAAGGCACTGCCTACACTGAAATATGCTTTGGATCCATCAGAAAAGATTTCTGTATCCACATCATCAGGTTGGCAGAAGTTGATCTTATTAGGAGTGGCTGGGTGCTTAGTTAAAGCATACTGAATGTTGCATTCAAGATCCTGAGTTTCGATAATTTGATTATTGATGCAGGTAGCCTTACCCCACTTAAGATGCCAGAGCTTAGTGTTATAGTCAATTAGATAATTAATCGGTGCTTTCCTAGCCAAAATCTGGAGAGAGATGTTTAGGGTCGTTTTATAGGCTCTAGTTATGTGCAGATAAAACCCACAATTTTTTTGCATTTTCGACGTTTGAAAATGTTCTAAGTTTAGAAATGTTGGCGAGTCATTTTCTGACCGATCGCCATGTTTTCCCCCTTATATATAATAGTAGGAAAAGTAATATGAAAGTCATTACAAACTTATACATTACAAATCAGTATTCTGTAATTTTATATATAAGCTACATATTAGAAAATTGCATTAAAGTTAATTATGTTTTGAAAATTTTAGAGAAATTATTTAGTCTTTTGGGGAAATTAACAAAATAACAAGCGAGACTCTTCACTTTTTATCTTGTCCATTGATAAAGATATTACTAATGAAGTAGACTGTATTGCTACAGATCTATATTATTTATAAAGTAATTTAGCCCAGTGAAAACCAGAAGAGTAGTTCTGTAAGGAAAGATTTTTACACCTATTAAATTTCACAATTCGTTGTAAAGCCGTTTTGCTCATTTTATTACATTAGAGAAATTGCAGCCGAAGTTCAAAGTTTAAACTTGTACGGCAAGCAGAAAAAACGTTTGACATTTCAACTCCAAATAAAACACGTTGCGCCTTAGTCGCACACTGATTCATGGGATATTGTCGAAAAATGGCGAAAACATTTAAGAACGGCGAAAGTTACCAAAGAACGTAAAAGTAACAAATTACATTATTTTTAAATATTTAGAGGATATTTAATAACACTAAATAATTATTTTTAACTTTAATTAGCATCGTGTCTCCTACCATACGATATAATAGTAGGACAATTTGCCTGTTCTCATGACATACTTTTCTTGAGAGAAGTACTGTACTGGCTTATATAAATCCGAAAGCAGCAGGGAAATTAGTTTTAGAAATTTACAAACGTAATACTGTTGATGGAAGATGATACCGTGAAAGAAAATCCTACTTCTACAGTATTGCGATAAGCTATTATCAACACAAATATATAAAAATTCAATAGGCACTTCAATCACATAACTTGCAAAAAAATTGAATAATTATATAATTTATGAATTAAAATCGTCTGTTTCGTTACAATGTCGTTCACAAATGCTTAAATAATCATTATTTTAATAAAATAAATCGTAAATTCAATCTAAACACAAAGAAAAAGCAAACGTTTAATCCGAACTTCTACTTGCCACGTTCCACGTTCAACGCCATTTTCCTGAATCATTATGCTGAACATTATATTATTCAATAAAATAAATGTATTACATTGAAGCTTAAAAAACGAAATTTAGTACTGTACGTTGAGTATAAGTGGCATTAATGCTAATAAATTTTGGTAATAAAACATCAAGGGGTTAAGAGATAAAAAAATGGTCCCGTTTAAAATCTCGAATGGGGTCAGACTTCATTAAAATTTTATTTGTTGTTAGCATCTACAATTTTTTGTGAAATGCATTTCTATCATTAAAATTAAGCATTTCTTCATTTTATAATAATTAAAATTATACAGAGTTTTTATAAGATATGGCGCCAAAGACAATTTTATTTATTTTTTATGATTAACTAGATATCTCGTAGCAACATAGAACTGACAATGAGTTATCTTGAACTACACTTAAGTAAATTTCCAAGAAAATGACTAAAGGCCCTAAACTTTGCGACACCCCAATCGTAGCGTCATGGCACCCTAAGGTGCCGCGGCACCCCGGTTGAAAAACACTGACTTAAGTACTCAATGAAGACTAAACGTAGTTGAAAACAAAAATCGCATCTAAAATAGTAGAGTAGAAGCCGTTCTTCCGGTTAAGCCTTAATGCTCTCCCTTACCCCCCGCGGGAGAATTTCTAAAAATCCCTTCTTAGTGTGCATTGCCATGGCTTACCCTACTAAAATGCACATAAAAACAAAAAATCGCATCTAAAATAGTACAGTAGAAGCCGTTCTTCCGGTTAAGCCTTAATGCTCTCCCTCACCCCCCCGCGTTGGAATTTCGAAAAATCCCTTCTTATTGTGCATTGCCATGGCATTCACTACTAAAACGCAG